TACAGAAATAATATTACGGCGAGTTTCTATGATGAAACAGGTGAAGAACAAAATCAATTCTCATGTGAATCAATAAACGATACCTTTAAATGGAATATTATATTAACAGATGGAATCGAATTAAAAAATGGTCATTCATTACTTGTCTGGTCTAGTGATCATGAAGGTTCAATTGGTTATCAGCAGAGAAGCTCACGATTTCAACAAGTAAATCAAATTTGTGCTGTCGCTGGAGTATATGCAGTGAGAGATAAGAACAAGAAACAGGAAAAATTAGAAATTCATCCAGGTGATTTAGCAATAAACATGCGTCTCATTATTTAAACGTGAAATTAGTTTAAAGTTTTAACAATAAAATAAAACCAGAAATGCTTTTTTGATGGCATGTAGAACTATGAAACAAGATGAAAGAGAAACTTTCAATTTTTATTTTTCTGAGACAGCCGACGATGAAAAAAAAATAACATGGGTGCGGATGCATCTTTTCTTTACTGATACCCAAACCTTCAAGATATACGCCGAAACTTATTTAGACATTACATAAATATTTGTTTTCTTCTAAATTCTTACGTCTACCAAAATCTGTTCTTATTAGTATACTTTAAAAAGCGTCGAAAACATCTTTATCTTGTTATTTGTTATAATATTTTATTCGGTGAAAGAACCTTAAAAAAAAGGGAATTCAATTTTTACCAACATTGAAAAAATAATTTTTGAACATGTCAATTGAAAATAAATCAACATTAAAAATAATGGCACTTGGTCGTCAATTTGAACTTGGAATGCTTTATGTCTATAGAACCGATAAACTTATTCCCAATATATTATTATGGGGTTCTCATATAACACCAAATACTATTAATTGTCGATCATTATCAATGCAAAAATGTACAATTCATAAAAAAGATACATTTAAAGAAAAAGGAGATTTATTAGGGTGTAGGTGTGGATGGGCTAACAACCTATCAGACTAACTCACACCGTCAAGATTCGCTCAGTTTGGTGCGTTCATTTGATTATTGAGCCGTGCAAAAACATATTCGGTGAATATTTTTTTATATACTCACGAAGATGAACAATCCGCACTAGAACAGCTACATAGAAACCAATTTCGGACATATTGTGAGAAGCAAAATATAATTAACGCTTTCGATGACTTCAGGAATCTGTATCTCCGTTCTGATCGAGATTTTATTCTTTTTGAGCGCGGCATGTACACACATAACGCAGTATCTACTTCATTCGTGGTCTTTTCAATGGACTTAAACAAACAGATGATGACGACGAGTACGAAGACCATCTGAAAACTTTTTATCGAGGTCAGATTATGTCTCGATTTGCATCTGACAAAATTTGAAAAAATAAAACGACGGATTTCGATACAGCAGTTTACAATGCTAGTGAGCTTGAGTGAATATCTTGCAATTAGATTCCAGTGATTTTTTATATAACTGTCGATACTAATCTTTCGTATCCAGTACCATTTCGACAAGTTGAACGAGCCTCTCTTTTTCCATTGAAATGAAAGTATTGCAGGTATAGCTAGCATATTCGCACATCAATCTTACACACACCTTCATTATATGATCTTGAAAAAATAAATACATTCTTTCGTGCATAGTTTATTTATTTCAACGTTAAAATCTTCTAGAGAATACTAACAATAACAATAAAAAACAAAGAAAACATCATTTCCATTTTAAGTAAATATTATAAAGTTGTCGATAAATTGTATAATTTAATAAAAGTTTTTCATCATCAATCATTTGTTTTAACTGTTTTATCATTTGTTCATCTGCTGTTATTATATAAATACATAATTCATGCAAATATTTATGATGATTTCGATTGATTTTATTTAAAATCTCACGTAAAAATGATTGAATATTCATATTTTCAATACATTCAACATTAAGATATTCCATATGAGGACAAAATGACATAAGAAATGAAATATCATCCATTGTAAATGTCATCTCCAAACAAACATATTTTATATTACTAGCATGTTCTAATGCAGATGTTGTAGGAAATTCATGATCTCCAAATTGAAGTATTGATTCATAATAAAATAAAGCAATGATTTTTAATGAAATAAGATCAGGTAATAAATGAATTATTTGCATTAAATTTTCAGTAGAAATTTTTTGTTCAATATTTAAATGATAAATTTGAGTGAAATTCAAAACACGTTTTATTTGATTTAATAAAATATCAGGAAGTTCATTACAATAAACATATTTTATTGTCAATTGAGCTAGTTTTGAATGTTCAATAGAATACTCATACCATCTCTTTCTAGAAAAAGAAGAAATTAAATTGAAAAAAAAGATACAAATATAAAATATTACTTGAATGGACGAACAAAATAATAAATACGGTATTCCCAAATTTCAATATCGAAAATTAAATTTCGTTGAATCCAAAATGGTGAAACGAATTGATTTAATTCTCCATCATAAATCGGATAATTATCACCATATCCCGGTTCACGATAACATAATGAAAATTTTTCTAATTGTGAAAAATTTTCTAAAAGTAATTTTTGCCAACGATGAGCATGCAGAAAACGAATATCTCGTTTTAAAAAACTCACATGGAGAATTTGTAAGTTTGAATGAATGAGTTCAATAAAAAATTGAAATTCATCGAAGTCTAAATCACTTGAAAATATTGATAAATGAATGAGTTCATTCAAGTTCATTGGTGAAATATCTTCGATATCTGAATCGTATTTACTTGAATGTGAAAGATTAAGATGACGAAGTGAAGGTGTATAAGATAGTAATGCAGATAGTTCATCAAATGTATACGAATGAGCGATTTGAAGATATGTAATAGGACTTAATTGTTGATTATTTGATATTGGAATTGATATGGTATGTTCATCTCCATATAAACTAAGTTTGTTCGATTTTAGTTTTGGTAATGAAAATATTAATTGATAAATTTCATTTAAATCTTCAAATGAATCACCTGATTTGATATTTAATAAATAAAGACAAGCTAAATCACGTAAATAATTAAGTAATAATATAAGTTGATTTTTTTTAATATCTTCAATAAATATTGATTGAAGATTATTATATGAATAATCAATTGGAAAAAATTCATTTATAGAAGTTTTTGGTGATTGAAAGGAAATTGAATAAATTTGATGTTTGATTTCCTTTGAATAATTCCAAAATAATTTTTGTGTTGTTGAATAATTAAGAATTATTTTATATCGGTTCGTTGAACATGTAATTAATTGTTGAAAACGAGCATTAAGATTTGAAAATGCTACACAAATATCCAAACCTTCAAGATAATCATATATTTCATAGAAGAGATCATTCGACAAATTTTCTAAAGAATTTACTAATTGATCTTGATTAAAATACAAAAACAGAACAAGTTTAGATATTATTAATCAAATGAATTTACTTCGTGACTTTTTTGAATTTTCTTCAGATGATTCGATCGATGTTAATTTTCGTTTCGTATTATCCATGTTGTTTACTTATAAGAAAAGAAAAGAATTCGAATATATAGGCTACTTTTTTTTTCTTTCCTTTCCTTTATACTCGTCCGGCACGTTGTTTCGAAATCAGTCGAGCTTATTTATTATAAATAGACGAAGAAAATTGTTTAGAATACTATACAAAACATTTACAACAATCAGTTTCTTAGTTTGAATTTTCATGATGGTGAAGTAGTAATTAAAGCCCTCAATCATTAGTGTCATTATCACTTAAATATAGATAGAACATTGAGTGATTCACTCGAAGCATATCATCATTTTTGAAGATGTGAATGTTTTCAAATAGATTTTTCAAATTTAGTTTCAATTTCAAATACTGTTTGAACATTTTCTCTTCCCAAATGAACATGCTACTGAAGTTATTGCCCACCATGTCATTTCATCTACTTCTCAATAATTTGAAAAGTGCTGTAAATATTAATTTGAGATATTTTGATCAAGGTTGAAGTTGATTTTTAAGTGGTTGACAAGCTTCTGCCAGAGAAGTGAATTATTCTTGTTGATAAGCATTAATTGATTAGATATTTACTTGTGATTGATGAGAAATATCAAGTGAAAAACGAGGATTGATTTAAAATGAAAATGACATAGTGAAAAGGAAAGGATGAAAAAAAAGAACGTGTTTGAAGATAAATATTGATGATCAGTGTTTTACAATTCTTTTCCTTTTATTTCAAGATTTATTTTTGAAACAAGGGTAATCATATTTTTGCTCAGAAACAATCAATACATTTGAAAATTTCCTAACAAACGTCTCTTATTGAGGCATCTGATAATATAAAGTTTTATATCGAAATTCAAAAATCATCAGTTTCTCGCTATTATTCTTCCGACTGCAGCAATTTGTAATTGTTTTGTCATTTGATGTTTGCATTTACAAAACGTATCTTTGAGTTGCGACGAACGCTCTCTGATACAATATAAAAGATACTACAAGAGTGTGGGTGTATATTTAATTGAAAGAGCAATCACATACACACACATCCTCGGATCCACACTGACAACCCATCGACGCCCACATCCTACAGTCTCACTTACAACAACACTGATACACCTACACCCATACTCACAGACACCCTACACCCGCACCCATATCCAAACACACACACACCCACATCGACACCCACAGCCTCAAATATGATAATTCCAGATGAGTTCGCTCTTTTATCCTTCGTCTCGATCGAAACACACCCAAAATAGATGTTTTCGAGTAGAGATTCCATGAAGAAATACATCAATACCACCTTCTAAAAAGTGAATGCTTTCAGATTTGTACCTAAGTGAATAAAGCTATTTTGTTCAGAGTGCAAACAACATTCACAGCAACTATCATAGAATGGTTCGAGAACAGTTCATATTCCTGGTTTTTATTGAAAATATTAAAGTGTGGTAATAAATCGTCATACATAAAAATGTGAAATTCATTTTATGACTTGCGTGAGCCAGGACGGATGCTAGCAAGGGATAAGATTGGTGCTTTTGAAACGATTTTATCAATGAGTGTATTCACCACTATTACCGCTTGCTTACTTTCCCATATACGTGTGCGACAATAAAGGGCGAAACATTCGCAATTTGAAGAAAGCAGGTTATAAGCTATCCCCTTGGATTCTTTCATTTTTGCTTGGGCGCGTTCGATCGTCTCACGACACTTATTTTCATTGTCGTTCTCGTAGGATATTAAAAACAGCGGTCGACTGATTTTACCGATAAAGTCAGGACCGTCGGCAAGAAAACAAGTGAGCGTGGTCGTTTGAATTTGAGCAGTTTCCTGTTCGCCAGGTCCCCAGAAATGTGCTATCAGCATTTCACCTTCAGTTTCAAGGACAATCCCATGATGATAGTAGCTTCCAGCACCCTGGTCACCTGTGGCAATATGAGCACCCGGATACAGTACTTGCTCAGGACGATCAGGAAACGCGACTAATCGCGCATTTTTAGGCATCAGGTCGACGTTTAGGTTTCTCAGTTTATTGCATTGGCTCTCGTTCATTATGATAAATGCTATACAGCAGATAGAATGCAAAGTAAATTATTTAGCAAAATCTACAAATAGGTCAAATAAGGATCATACAATTGATGTAACGGGACAGAAAAAAATTGTTCTGATAGAATAACAAGTTCATCAGGTTTACGAAAAGCTATAAGTTGAAAACTAGAAAGAAAGAGCCAGAAACAGTAATAGTTATGAATCAATCGTGATTGAAAGTCATTCATTAAACAATAAATTCTTCAATTAGTCTCTTTTACAATTCAAATCGCTCAGAAGAAGTGAACAAATGATAGCTGTTGACTGGGAGCAGGTGGGTGTAGGTGAACGTTTGGGATATTGGCCTCTTCGTCACTCATGGGTCATACACACCCACACCCACACCCTCACG